CCCCCGCCCGCACGAACGAGAGATTTGCTAACAACTTTAATGAACGTGAGATAATTCTTCAGGTGGACCTACTAACGCAGAGAATTTACACTAAAAAAAAATGAGAGTGAAGCTCCAAAAACAACGTCGTTTGCCGTGTGTGTACCTTTGGGCACACCATGATGATACCGTAGGCCCAACGCAAGAACTTTAAACTTATCGAGTAAAGTAATCCGACACTTTATATCTACAGCACATGTAACCGTGAGAAAATACAAGCACTTGAATCGCTTCATTCCCGGACACGGGGAACAAAAAGCGCAGGGAGACATGATCAATACTCCCGAAACCCCGCCGTGCCACTGCCTAACCCACGCGCCAACGCCATTGTTGCCGCAGCCGATATCCGCTTCACCCGGAAACATGCTCGAAACCCAAGCTGGGGGTTGAAGCCAGTAAGTCCTGACCAACGCCGAAGGGGGAGCCACCATTGGACGAAATCATCTCGCGGAAGTTTGTGACCTGAAACACAATACGCAGACCGCATTATGTGGGCTCGGTATGNTGAAGCCAGTAAGTCCTGACCAACGCCGAAGGGGGAGCCACCATTGGACGAAATCATCTCGCGGAAGTTTGTGACCTGAAACACAATACGCAGACCGCATTATGTGGGCTCGGTATGGCACCGGCGCGATACACCAATATGATCACTAGGCGACGAACAAAATATAGGCGACATCAACACTCGCACATATCTACACATGAAGAAAAATGAACAGCGATACGTCGCCTCAGATCTTTCCTCAGGTGTTATGAGCTGCGTCGGATACACATGTGCATACGAACAAGGAAATCATTTGAGCATGTGCCTGTTCACAGCATTTTTGACACATCCGCTTCACCGCTAGAGGTTGAGATAGTTCTACTTTCCAAAACATTTTCCTGACATCCTGACGATACAAGTTCGCTCGTGTGCACATCTTTCCAACAACCGAGCCCCCTCAGTCAAAGGATGGCCCGGAATATTTAAGGGGACACCGTGTGCGTTCGACCGGTGTATGCCCTCCGTTAAACCTTTACCCTTCAAAATCAATCTGGAGAGCGTGCCGTTCCAGCATCGGAATGGGTTGCCACGACTTGGAAAAAAACAAACAAAATAGAAACGTCGTATACTCTTTAACGCGAGGGACGGGTAAATGTCGTGCTGTATATGTTGGAGATTATCGCGTCTTGTGGCAAGTTTGAACATACTCTGAAGATGACTCTCAAGCCGAAGTAATATGCTCACCTTGCGGAGTTCAGATTCGACGCATGTCCAAGGGCTATCCTCACTGGAGCTGCTCAACACACTGTCGACGGCGGCGCGGCGAAGTGTCCGCTCGAAATCCTTGAACCGCCGGTCTCCCTCCTCTTGGTCCAGCCCCTTTGTAATCTGATCCACCGCAAGAGATCTGCGTCTCCTGAGCGAAGCGGCGTTTTGCATCCTACCCACATCATCCCCCACCGTCACAGCTGTTGCGGCTATGAACGAAATATGTGGTCCTTCCCACTGGCGCTCACCGACCCGCGGGTCGTGATCGCAGTTGTCGTTTGCAATCGCCGCGCATTGGTCCCCCTTGGGGAGAGTGTCCTTGTCCTCAACGACCTTCGCACGATAGTCCTCTCGATGCTGCACTTGTGAAGTCGTAGCCCACAAGCCGTGCCCTGCTACAAAGTCGATAACCTGCCGGCAGGTCCCCTTTGACTTCGCCCACTGAGCACCTTTGATGTCCGCCGCTGTCAAGTGTCGACCAGGAAAAATCGCCTTCACCGTGCACTTGCAAAGCATGTACAAACGCCGTGCGGAGCCTCGCCTACCCTGGTTGTTTTTTTCGATGGAAATGGCAGCTGCCTCGGAAGTCGGCCCAGCAGAATCCACCTCTTCTGCCCGGGTGGCATCGCGAGTGGGGGCTTGCCGCTCACAGGCGGCTCCTTCAAGCGCGTCGGCTCCATCGCTCCCATCATCCTCTCGCCGTACACTCCCCGCTGCGCTTGGCTGTGGACCGTCTGTTTTTATTTCATCCCACGCCCAGCCCCGGCCGGGATCCTCACTCCCTATATCGGTAATCTCGGGGTACAGGGGCATGTTCGTCATACCTTGGAAGAGTCCAACCAATGTCGGGGGCATCTCAGCTAGGGCATCTCGCACTGGTTTCACGGGTGCGGCCAACTCCACGCTGTACTTGTGCTTTTGCCGTCGGATGCGGGCATTCTTGAGATCTGGATGCTGATCGACATCGGCACGAACAATTTCCGCCGCCGCACGCACGATCTCCGTCCTCGCGTCTGCCTCTTTCGCTTCTTCGAGAAGACGCCTCACTATCTGCAGGGACGTATTTCCACCGGACGTGGCGTTTGCGGGCGTGCTCGGACCATCGAACGTGTTCGCCAGGCGCGCCCGTAGGGCGAGGGATGCGATAGCCTTGTCCCGAGCGTTGACCGGAAAGAGACACAGTAGTCGTTGGCGCCCGTGTCCAAAGCCCCCCTCGCTGCTGACCACCCGCGCTTGGCCCCCATCAGCGCTCGCGACGCTCTCGAACATCTGGGGCACGGCCTTCCGCCCGCTCCTACGCTCAAGTTTTTGGTCACCATCCTGTGCGCGCTCAGCTGAGAGCCAGTCGAACACATTCTCCCAGTAAAGGATGTCCCCGCGAGCTACGGCTATATTCACCAACGCGCGCACCCGGCTGAACGGCTTCTCCGGCGCCGGTTCATCGGCTTTAGGTCGGCCCGAGTTGCTCGATGCCGCAACCTTTTTTTGAGTAGCTTCTCCGATGGCCCGGATTCGAGCTTGATTGCAGGCCTGGCAGTACCAAGCTTGTGTGCGTCCTGATCCACCACCCTCCGTTATGTTATCGTCCACGACGTCCACACTGTACCACCTCTTCTGGTCCTTCACAGGGTACCCTCTCTTGCACACGCTACATGTTCGGAGCTCCGGCTTTGCTTCCCTCTCGAGAAGAAAACCGTAGAAACAATCTCGGCGTTGGCAAATGCAGTCGTTGCTGGGACAAAATCCTCGCACGAGAGGTAGAGGCAGCTCCCCCTCTCCTTCTTGGTACTCGGCCAAAAACAACCGTGTCGCNCAAATGCAGTCGTTGCTGGGACAAAATCCTCGCACGAGAGGTGGAGGCAGCTCCCCCTCTCCTTGGTACTCGGCCAAAAACAACCGTGTCGCTCGTTCAAGCCGTGGCCCTCTGAATTGCGTGAAGCCAGCTAAGCCCTCCGACCTATGGCATGCGGAGCATAGCTTGTCACCGACGGCGTGCACTACGCCTGAGGGGCACATGCTGCATTCGAGACCCGGGTTGTTTGTGACCAACCGCACTCCGCACGCCTACGAGGTTTCTTGCGTGTTTTTTTTCTCGGCTCCGATCTGAGTATTCCTAACTCCAGGATCAGACTGTCTTTGCGCTGCACTCCGCTTGACGGAGCGAGAGCCAGCTGTTCCAAGCTTTCCACCGCAACTTCGACGCCGGAATTCAACTGTCCGCTTGCCTCCGGACTCCAACTTCTCACGTTCAGCTTCGGCAATCTCTCGCTCTCTGCGGACCTAGCCATCCTCCCCTCAAAGACGGCTTGCCGCCTCTGCCCCAGCGTCCGTCTCTGCGTTTCCTACCGGATCCTGTATGGCTTCCCGGATCTCGGCCACGCGCGCCGGATCTCGCCACTCGCTTAATTGCGACGCCAGGCGTACTTGCGGGTGTAGCCTCTGGGGAAGCGGTGCCCAGGCCGCCTCCCCGTTGACAAGTAGCCGTAGACCCCCCCCCGCTGCCCGCTGCTACCATTCTCAGGATTCGACGGAGTTCGTGGGGGGCGACTACGTGGGTGGCGCGTCCTCCTTGGTGTCGCTTTTCCTTCAGCGGGACTGCATGTCCGTCCACGTCTTGGTTCAGGGCGAGGAGACGCAGGTGGTGTCACGGTCTGCTCTGTATGGCTCTTGTCGCCGCTCCTCCCCCCCCGCTGCCCGCTACTCCTACTACGTCTCATCGCGCGTCGGCTCGATCCTCCCTCTAAGACAGGTCCTAGGCCAAGGATACCCTGAAATCGTAACGCGCACAAAAAGGAAGTAGTTAAGTCCGCGAAATCCGTAGTGTGTAGATGATAGATACCATGACACTCAGTCATTCATGGCATCCCACCCCAAAGTCAGGTGCGTGTGTCTCCGTATTTAACGATAAAATCATTTCTATAATCGTACCTGGAAGGATACTGCTCAAAAATTTTCAGGAGTATCGAAAGTAATCCAAATAATACAATTCAGGGGGGGGGGTCTAGTTCGTGTACAGTATCGAAGTACCGCGGACCATCCACAAAGATGCGTTCGTTTCGAACGTCAACTTCTCTAGATGTGGTCTGGGGTTCAGAAAGGTCGCTTCCACCCTCTCTTGATCACCAAAACCATGGACCCTGCTCCGACAGATAGTGAGCGTATCCCGCCGCGTGCTTTCTGATATTTCCACAGCAGTTTGACATGTGTAGTCTAGTGTACCCAATCTGCTGTGCTACGGTGCATGTATGCAGACCTGCGTTTCGGATTTTTCCAGCATAGCGCAACAATATTGAACTTTGATCTCAACATGCTTATCTTCTGACGGATCAAATCGCTCCAAACCTTTTGTAAAAGATGTCAACAGTACCTGAGTGCATGGTGTTGGCGACATTTCGTTGCAACACGATAGACTCGTGGAGAGACTGCAGCGCATCCGACCCATACTCGGAGATTTCCGAGTTGTCCTACGGTGGTAAGCCCTGAGAAAAAACTGAAAATCTACCCCTACGGACTAGCTCCGACTGTAAAACAAAGGCTGCACGGTTGACAGATAGCTACCTCACCTATCTCAGCCGGAATATCGACGCTCCCAGCCCTGCTGCGCCCTATGAAGCCGGCCGTGGGAGGCGAGGTCTTGAGTTGTTGCGCCGCACGAAATCGAGGGGGTTCAGCAGGGGATGGCTTCCCGCCCGAGGCGTTATGTCTCACACTTTTTTTTTAAATCAGACGTGCAGCACTGTCTCTTGAGGCTCCACGCGTGGTGTCGTTTTCCCCATGGGTACGTAGGTCACGTACGGTGCCGCAATCTTATTTGTCAAAGCTGGAGTAGTCCATACGACCAAGAGAAACCCCCGATAATTGAATGGAGCCCTGCTGTAGCGTACTGTTGTTGTTGGTGGTGGTGTTGCTGTTTTCACATTGAAAACCGTTCCGGTCTCTTAACCCATTACCTTCATGTGTCCGTGGTGATCGAACGCATGACAGCGATTCCCGTGATCACAGACTAGCTTACCTACAAATGACATACCGTGTACGAGCAGAGAGTGAGTCGGCAAGGTTCGGGGAAGCACGCTCGTTGCCTCACAGGAGACCCGGTTCCTTTCCTTTGAAGACGGTTGTATGAGGTCGAAATAATGGTGTGACAGCATTACTGGTAGACGAACGCGAACACAAACATCAATTCCGGGAAGATACCGTTCACCATGAACATCAACGAATATTTAGACAACCAAGCGGTTTGGCCGGATCAAGAACAAGAACCAAGACCACCACCACCACCAACAACAATAACAACAGCAAACACTGCTCGTCAAAACCCGCATCCTTTCTTATTTGCGACGAAAACGCCTGCGCTCGTGTCGTGCAGGATTATCAACGAAGTTCGAGGAATCAACCGAGTCACGTACGACATCAGCTCCAAGCCGCCGGCGACCATCGAATGGGAATAAAATGGCGTCAAGCGGGAACAAAATGACATGGAGCGGAGATATGACGGCATCGAGCGGGAATATTATAACATCTAGTGGGGATAAGAAACGATAGTGAAAGAAACGATAGTGACAGCATATGATCGGGATTCGGAAGCAATTTGGGGGGGGGGACTCAAATTTTGGCATGGCCTACCTGTTAGACCATTAAACTACGTGGGAGTACGGAGCATTGTTCCCACATCAATGGCTCATCGCTCCTTCCTGCTTGGTCATCGGAAGGGGGGGGGGG